AACCACATGTCATTTCGTACTAATTAATTGATGCTCTAAAATTTTATAATTGGAAAGTTTGCGCTATCTGTTTTTGTTTTCGATTTGCACTGCCTATCTTCCAAATTTTGCCACTAGGGGCACTGTTGTTTGCATTAGGTTGGGCATAGTTGCTTTACTATACCGTTACCTCACTTCCATAGCTGTAGCTCTCTCTGTTCGCATGAATTTTCCAGTTAAAGGGACTTTCCTATGCATCCTTTATACAGTATATAAATATAAACTTCAACAGTTTCCCCTCCAAAAACTGGTTATACATAATAAAAAACTCACTCAAATATCAATACCAGTTTAATAGTACAACAAGATTTCAAACCAAAAGAATTTAACAACATATTAAATTCTTGTTAACATTTTAAAAACATGAAAATGTTTGTATTAGTAAACCTTGTTGTAATATTAAACTGATATTGGTGTTTGAGTGATTTTTAAAAATAAAATTCAACTCAAATCTTCGTTAAGTTGAACAATATTTTTTAAAAACTTCACTCTTTCAAAAGATATTCAAAAATAAACATTAAAACAAACTTTTTAAATAATTTTATCAGAAAAAAATAGTAAATTAATATTATTTTCCCATTATGAATATATTTTTATATTCTTTTTGTAAACTTTTTCTTTACAGTCATCAATTACAGATGCAGATAATGACAATGGGAAATATAAAATGAACACAAAATTAAAATCCTCTTTTTATAATATAAAAGTATCTGTTTGATGCTCTGTTTTATTATTTTTTTTTTATCCATAAAATAAATAGAACAACAAAATAAAATAAAATAATGTGCATCTGCAATTTATTGTCAATAAATTTTCTTTTAAGAAATTAATATTGGTTTAATTTCTTTAAATAATTTTAAGAAAAATATTGTAATAAACTGCAAATGCATAATATTACATTTTTCAATAAGTAAAAATTCTTTACTTTTCAAAAAACATACATTTTTCTTTGCCATTTCATGCTTACGAAGAAAACAAGCATTCATTTCATTATATCAGAAATTTAATTTTATATTATCAAAAAAAAAAATTCAATTTTGCATTCATTTTACATTTCTTGCTGTCATCATTTGCTTTTGTAAATAATGACTGCAATGAAAAAGCTCACAAAAATATGCAAGTTTTCTCAATATATTATTACAAGAATATTCTATAACAAAGAATAATATTTAAAGAGATAAGGACTCATCAACTTCAACGATTCTCTTAGTAAAACACATCCCTAACATTATAAAAATAAATTAATAAAAAAATTAACAAAACAAAAGTTTAAAAACTTGCAAATATTTTCATTTCTCTACAGTAAAGTACTTTTAGCTTTCTACTTTTCTGTCAACTAAAGCTTTCTTGCTCAACAAATTCTCCATTGTATTTTTATCTCTATAGCAGACTTCTTTAGATATGAAATCTTTACCTTGAAATGAAAAAACAGAGATGAAAGTACTTTCCTCTAGAAAAATGAAAATATTTGTAAATTTTTTAAAAGTTTCTTTTGTTAACTTCTTGTTAACATACTTATTATATAATTAGGAGTTTGTTTCACAAAGATCATTAACTAAGAATAATAATAAAGAACAAACATATTTTGTCATTAGACATTCTTTTTCAGATTATTCTGAAACTTCTGAGGAGAATTATGCTAATTAAATATATTGTTTAATTAAAATTATTATAATTCTTTGCTAAATTAATTTAACCTAAATTTATTTAACAATTAATTATAATTTATACTTGAATTTATTTGATATAGTAACATCAAACCATCTGCTAAACATTTAATTCTAATATATTCTTGTATATTCTTGCTAATTCAAACTCTACTTAATCCCATTTTGTTCACCCTTCTGCTAAATATTTTGGCTAAAAATCATGAGTTTGGCTGAAATATTTAGCAGAATTGAGCGTTTTTAAATACATGCATTTTGTTTGTATTCCTTTTTGACACTCTTTCCTTTATATATATTCCCACTAATCTGAACAGTCCCATAATTAGTTCAAACTAGTGAAAGTACATTGTATTCAATTAAACATTGCTGTTTATTTTCTAAAAATTTTGCACTAAAACTGATAAAAAAAGATATATTTATATCATATTTATTTAATAAATCAAATCATGCAGAAATATAGTTAAATATACATTTATCTGACATTCTCCCTGAAGCTAATCATTGTAATTCATAAGTTCAAAATGAACAAAACAAGGTAAATGAACTGTGGCTATAAATGAAAAGTTCTCAGTTTACTTCCTCTAAAATACATTACTTTAAAAAACAAAATTTCTATCAAATAATAAAATGTTGTAATAAAATATGTTTTAAACAATGACTTTATTATTCAAATTTATCTCATACATCTGACAATAAATTTTAGTTATATTTTTTTGTACTTTCATAATGCATTGTCTATATTTATAAAATATTTAAAAGTGATATTATTATATGTTGATTTTTTCATTAATTTAAATTTATCTTCTTTCTGTTTCTATTAATGCATTATCTAAAAACAGATTTGTTGAAGTTTTATTAAAAACATTATTTTAAAATTTGTTAAAGACTCAAGTTTGATATGTATATATAAAAAAACTAATTTACAGAATTTTAAGCTTCAAATCTTTTATAAATCAGGATAATCAAAAAATTAATTAATTATCATTTCTGAGATAAAATCTCATCTTTAGAATAAAGTCAAATATCACAAAAAAAATTTATTCTCAAAGTTCTAAATAAAAACTTGACTTTTGACTGTTAGAAGTCTGACTTTATTTTACTTAAGGATTACAAAGAGTCAATTTACAGGATTAATTGCTGATACTTACATTTATCTCTTTTGTGCTACCATATGAATTGCTGATATATTTACTCTTCAGACTATATAACATATATCTGAGAAAAAGCTGTTAGCAATGAGAAGATAATTGTAAAACATTATTATTATAAAATATGCAACAAACATGTGAAAGCAAGAGCTGTAAACAACAATAAAATATATAAAAACACTTCTGATAAAGCAGTGACGGCAATTTGGGCACAAATAAAAACTAATCGAAGCATTAAGAAAAAGTATGATATTTTTGGATCTTATTTTTGACATAGATGTAGGGAATTCGATCCCAGTCCTTATTTCTAATCCCGGGATTTCGGGATTATACTTATTCGATCTCGGGATCCCGGGATTATTTCGGTATTGAGGGTTAATAAAAAATAAGAAAATCTTACAGAAATTAAAAATCAAAATTTAGACAAAAATCAACGTATTTTACGGTATACACCTAGTTAATTTAATCACTCTAATTAATCAGACTTACAGTCAGACTAACCAGACTTAAAATCACTGTCTTCATGTTAAATTTATTCTTTTTTAAGCATCACTGAGATCTCTTTAAACTCACATAAATTGAAAAAACTTTTATGTAACAAACTATGCAAATAAACCTTGAAAATTCACAAAAATCTCTCTTAACATCGACTAAATAGACTACTTTCATATAACAACCTAGTAAGTAGGTAGTAAAGTAAGTTTCTTAGGAAAAAGTATTTAAAAATAATATTAATCAGTCACATTTTTCTTAAATATAAAGAAAACTAATTTAATAGGAACATTCTAATTTGAATTGCGAAAATATGATCTGAGAAATAACAACGCATCTAGTGTCTCATCACCAAGTCTGCTTCTCAATTTGTTGCACATATATGCAGCTGCAGAGAAAACGCGTTTAGGTTGATGGAAGTTGGAGGAATCGTTAGTAAATACTTATAAGCTTCGAGGACACGGGGAGGATGGAAGAAAACAGTCCGGTCGACACGGATCGGGATTGTAGGAGTAAAGGCTATAATCCCGATTGTTTCGATCATTGTAAGCATGTTTTTCAAAAAATAAACGCGTTAATTTTGTAAATTCGGTCTCTGTGTGAGTCTCTCAGCGTCCAGCAAACCACTACCCCGAAACGTAAAAAGACTTTCTCGCATCATCCTGACAGATCGCGGGCAAGGCGAGGGTCATAACCTTTTCACCTAAGGTCGACCCCCCTAAGCGAGTAGCGTCAGGTCTATATTAACCACACTGGCAAAACAAGATGGCTGACACATTGACAGGTAAAACGCACTGAGTAGTGCTCTCGACTGCGCCAGAAAATCGATTGGCGCCCGCGAAAATTCAAAAATACAAAAATGAAGTATATTACCAAGTAACCCAGTGAGAACTGCTTGCCTATCATTTTAGTTGAAAATACAAGAAGTTTTATTCCAAGCAAGCATCGCAAGCCCGCTTGGTTAATTTCTGCTGCTTGCTTGGAATAAAATTTCTTGTATTTTATATTAAAATGATAGGCAAGCAATTCTGTTAAAAGCACTGGCACTGAACGTTTCGCTTCATGCAGTCTATTTTGCAATTTTTTTAAAATGATGTCAATCCCGAAAATCCCGGGATTAGGAAAACTTAATCCCGAAAATTTTGGGATTGAAAAGTGGTCGGGATCCCGGGATCCCGATTTTCGAGATCCCGGGATCAAATCCTCTACATAGATGTCTCTTATGTCTTTTACCTTTTCACCTGTCACTCTTTTCTTCTCACATCTATTTGATTGGCATATTCAAGATACTAAATTTTTAAATTAGCATTTTAAACTAGAACCCAGAATAATAATCATGTACTCATTATTAGTGATGCTTTTTTCTTTATATCATACAAAAATCAAAAATGACAATATAATAAACTTAAAAATTATAAAAACATTTCTATTTCTTTTAAAAAATATCTGAAAATCTCATATATAACATGTTCTTCTTTGATAACTATTATTATACATAATCAACATTCATATTATTAAAAAGCTTATGCCATAATGCTTAGTAACACACAAATTTACTAATGAATTATGGTTATAAATTATAAAAATACAAATTTAAAATGTTCATTCATAACTATCTCTTATAATTGAAAAGTTTAATATAAAATTTGCTCACCTGATATAGACGAATAATATGAGGATGATTGAGCAATTTCATAATTTGAATTTCACGGAAGATCTTTTTAAGGTTATCTTCATCTAACTGTGATTTATCTATTATTTTTATGGCTACCTACATATTAAAAAAAAAAAAATTATAAAATCAGTGATATAATAGATAATTGGCATTAATATATAAAATTTAAATAGAATATTTAGAGCATATTCTGAATGCATTTAATCACAGGAATGTTTTGAATTTTGTGAAAAAAACAAATATTTCTCAACAAAAATTAGTATTTTTAATCATAATTTGACAATATTTATATGTTTAACACATCAATTGCTTTCCTTTCTTGTGATTAAAGTTGCATGCAACATATTTTATTTATACAAAACACTTATCAAGCATTCATCTGTTTATTGTTAATGATATCATATTCTTTTATTAAAATTCAAAGCATCTAGAAAGGCATTAAATTTTAAATTCTATCAATCTTGGAACAGATGTTTTTTTTCTTCCTTCCAAGGCATTGATCATAAGTTCAAATAGTATTTTGGAAATAAATCAAATTTTGGCTCTCAATCAAAATTCTCAACCTAATTTTTCATTCAAGAAAAGAAACAATATCAAGAGTGACTTTCCACAAAATGAAGGAAGACAATATGACTAGCAAAAGCTTGTATTTAGATCAAAATTTCAAACTGGAAACATTAAATCTCAGATTCGACTTTTCCATTTAAATTTGAAATTATATTTGTAGTTGAATTCAAATGATAATTACTTTTCAGTATAAAATGATAATTACTTTTCAGTATTCAGTAAAAGATAATTTTAAAACATGGAATACCAGTATGTGATTATATTTTATATTTTTCTTATATTCAATTTATAGATTTAGTTAAACATTAGGCCTACTATGTATGAGTATGGGCTTTTACTCAAAAAATTCAAACTCATTCTTATGCAGTAAAATCTCATTATTTCAATATTAGATAATTCGAAGTCTAATCTAGTCCCCAGTCCAGAGAATAGGATTTTGGATATATTTTACTTTGGGTAATTTGAAATATATATACAATGAAGTTTGAAGTCATTTTCTGGTCCAGTGACCTGCAAAAATATTGTTTGANGTACTTGAACAATCCATTTGACATTTGAAAACAATTTAAACCTTTTTTTTTTTATTATTTAATAAATAGTTATACTTCTTAAGCTATTTAACAGTTGTAGAAATCAGTGTTTTGGAGTGGAATGTGGAGCAGGAGCCCAGAACAGTGGAAAAATGGGTTTTTGCCCAGAGCTGGAGGAAAGCTGGAGCACAGATCATTTTGATTGCTCCAGCCATTTTGTATCAATATTTTTTTGATATTTAGTAAGTTTGCCATTGTGTAGTGACTGTTAATTTGACATTTGGCAACACTGTGGTTATTCCTGCCTTTGTACTACACATTGGTGTATCATTACTATTTGTGCAGCGACCATTAATTTGACTACACTGTGAATGTGAATAATCACATACTCAGTGAAGTGTCATAAAAAGAGAAATATTTAATAATTTAATAAGAATATAAATCCATTTATATTATAACCATATATGTTATATGTGTGGATAATATGCAAGGTTGTAATATGTGTGTATGGATAATATGATGGTTTTTTGTTCTGCTCATTGTTTTAGTCAACACAGGTGAATTCAATTATGGCATTATCATCAACAAAGAAAAAATTAAAAATGTCCTCTGTGACTGGTAATTGTTTTACAGAAGAGGATTTGAAAAGGATTTTCACATCTGAATCTGAAAATAACAATAAAAGATGGCAACATGCAAGATAGATAAGAAAGTGAATGGTGAACTCAAACAATGAAACTTTAACTTCAAGGCTAGTGAAACAAGTAATACTATGAAAAAATTTAATCTTTGGCAGCATATAAACACAGTCATCCAGATATTTATGAAGCTCTGATTAAAAGGAAAGATAAAAAAGATAAAGCAAGGATTACCACAACAAAACAACATTTTGTTACTGAAGAAAATAGTTCTTGCAGAGCATCATCTAATAAGAAATCCAAAATGGACCTATCAAAAATTGATTCCTATTTCAATTTGTCAACAGTTACAGTCACCATGGATGCCGACACTTTTCATGAAGGTCTTGTGGAAATGATATGCTTGAGTGCAAAACCTTTCATTATATTCAGATTTGAGAACAAAAGATTACAAAAAGTTGCAAAAGTGAAATGGGTGAACAACTTGGAGTTTCAACAGGATATGATGCAATTTGTCATTTGATTATTAGCACAGCTAAGTCTGATATATTGATCTCAAAGAAACATAAAAAAGAAAGTGGAGTTACTTGAAATAGACAAACAACCTTTGGAAACAGAAATTTTCTTGATGTCAATGTGCAGTTGTATGATGAAAAGAAAAATAAAGTTGGTATAAAAACACTGGATATTATTGATACTGAAAAACAGCATAATTCTTTGTATGTGTAAAATTAAGTTAAACTGTCTGGTCCTCCATCCAATCTTTGCTTCCAGAATTATTAATTTAGATATAACCATATTGGTCAATAAAGGCTGTAAGTGCTGAATTTGTGCCAGTTGACATGAGTAACCAATATGGCTATATATAAACCAGGTTAAATCCAATTTAGAAAAATTTGGTATCTATGAATCACAGGTTTTGAGTATCTGCATCAAAAATGCAGCAAATATGACATGTCATTAAAAAATTTAATGACAATAGATCATTAACTTTTTTAATGATGTCATATTTGCTGATGGTACAAACAAAATTAACTCTGATGGTACAAACAAAATTAAAACTATTTCACTGGAAAAAGAAACTGAAGAACGTGATGACCAAGAACACAATGTGGATGATCCTGCACAGTGGGGTGAGGATCCTAGGCTCATGCTATCAACATGGCTGCTCAAAGATAATTTGAAACCAAAAGTCAAAATGATGCAGTGTGACATGTATAATCTTCAGTTGGCAATTTGGGATGGTTTAAAGAAAGGACATGCAAAGAACATCCTCATAAAATTCAAAAAGTCACTGTCAAATTATGAAAACCAAATATTGCAATAATGAAACTAGTTCAATTATTGCAAAACTCAGCATACAGCTATGTTTTATAAAAGTATATAAATTATTAAAATTGTGGTTACAATGCCAGGTAATGTCCCAGAGTTCCTTAAAATTGCTATTCTAGTATCCTATAAAAAAGCTATAATGACAGTGCTATACATCATGCCATTAACACCCCAGTGTTTCTTGCTTTGTTTGGTGGTGCTGTGTCATGGACTACTACATTATCTTTAATGGTAAGTCCTGGTTCTGTTTGTAAATGGATAACCACTGTGTTAAAGTGTCTAGTGTGTCATAGAAGTAGGAAGTATCAGTGTAGTTTATCCAGAGAGTATGTAGCAGGTAAAGGACCATCAGTCTCCTTTCCTATTACATATCACAGGAAATAATTATCTGATAGATGAAAAAAAAATCAGATTTTTCTTAAAGTATGTGATTCTAAATGGTTTGTATAGAAGTCAAAACCAATTTTTCTATTTTGATATTTGTTATTTTCAATTTTCAAAATTAATTCTTTGCCAACTTTAACTATAACAATCTATCTATCTATCCAGTGGCATCCTCTCTACAGAGGGTTGCATTTGATGAACTATTCCTCTCCATGAACTATTCCAACTATAACAATATTAAATTTAAATAAACTTCTTATATAATGTTAAATTACTGAGATCACTAAATTTTTCAATTATTGAATACAGTGATACCCCGAACTTACGCGATAGGTGGGACCGAGTGATAACCGCGTAAGTCGAATTCGCGTAAGTCGGGGTATAATTTCGCAATTTGTGTAAAATCCAAATTCGGATGTATGTAAGCTAATAAATGTTCTTGTTAATCTTATCATGTCTTTTGATTCATTCACGGTTACAAGAAATCACTACATAGAGTCTCTCGAGTCTTCGTAGATATAACAAACACAGAAATAAATAACACAAAATAAATTGTAACTATGCGTCGATTCCGCGCGACACATCCAAACATGTAAGCCGAACAATAGTGTGGGGGGAGTGAGTAATCAAGAGCTGCGTTCCGCTCAAACAAAAGACGAATCCACGAGATTTGAAAATCGCGTAACTCCAGGTTCACGTAAGTCGGGGTAGCGTAAGTCGAGGTATTACTGTATTTAAAATATATAATGCTGCAACACTTAGTGATTTCTTTAACTTAACACTCTACTTTTTCTCTTTTTAAGCTTTTTCTTTCTTCTGCCCCGTTAACCCTAAGAAGACCTTTCATATGTCCATCATGAATTCAGCCAGATTTAGAATCTAGGTGGCCAGATGATTGCCCACATTGTGATGACTCTTGACTTGATACAGTGGTACCTCAGGTTACGAACGCCCCAGCATACGAAATTTTCAGGATACGACATGAAATTCGAACATATTTTTGTTCCACGATACGAACAAAAACTCACCATATGACGTTACATTAGTTCGCATTTTTCATTTGTTTTTCTTACTACAGTTATTTTTTTAATGTATTACTTGGCTTTAATTTGAGTATGTTTTTCGCGTTGGAACGAATTATTTGGTTTTACATGTAATCGTATGGGAAAAGATGATCCACCTTACGACATTTTTATGATATGATCTCAGTTTCGGAACGGATTAATTTCGTATCCTGAGGTACCACTGTATTTAAGTCAAATAATTCATGAAAATTTCTGAGAATATGATCCATACTCAGAGTCCTTCAAGACAGATTGATACTCTGAACAATTCTGGTTCAAGTCTAGATATGATCCTGATATAACTAGTCAGGGATCATCACAATAGGGATTTCCTGGCCCTCTCCATTTAGGTTTGACCAAGCCTTTACTGACTTTGCTGGATGATTAAAGCAGTAAAGGCTTCACTATCTCAATTATCCAGTCATCAATTTACAACTGTAACAAAAGATTTTAAGATATACAGTGGTACCTCAGGATACGAACGCCCCAGCATACGAAATTTTCAGGATACGACATGAAATTCGAACATATTTTTGCTCCACGATACGAACAAAAACTCACAACCAAATAATTCGTTCCAA